TTTGTACCATTTTCTGGCGATTTGTAATCTGTTCTAGAGAAACTGTGTTTTTTAGGATTTCAAGAAGCATATAGAACAAACAATGGATGTATTTTATGAACATTTATCCATGCTGAAAGTAGATGTTTTAGGAGTGAGATAGAGATTATTATCTAATATATGCATCCGATGAAGCATTGCATGAAGTCTGTTGAGGATCAGAGACTGTTGTTTGGGCTGCATAAACGTTTTTTTATTTTTGTTTTGGCAGACCATGCAGGCTAGCCTGATGGTCACCAAGGTTCATGTTTTAATAGCATTTTTACAAAACATGTGAAAACATTGCTTAGACCTCTGAGAGTTAAACTTAGGCCTGCAACCATAGTTTTACTGTATTTTGTTTTAAAAATCCACAGTGGAGGTTTGTGTCGTACTACATGCGGTGTATTTTGCATATCTCTCAATAGCCAACGATCTGTGAGTCTGTTGGCTCGGACATAAACTCCGTAATAAATGAGGTTTAAAACCTGAGCATTTTAAATCGCATTTGAACTAAATGCTTATAGAATCTGTAGTTGTATTTATATGTGTTGGTTTATTGTGTGAATGCGGTGATATACAGTAGAGAAGGTTAAGCTGTCATTATTAGGTTGTTATGTACTGTTGTTTTTGGATATTTGTGGAGTCGGGTGGTCCGTGAGTGGTTTTTTATTGGTTAAGTGGTCCTTGGTATGAAAAAGTTTGATAAACACTGCGCTAGTGGATTATCAACAGGGGGAGCCTCGCTGCTCGGAAATTATACAGATGGCCAGTCCGCCCCTGAAAAATGTCTATGCACACGTTATTATAAATAATAATTTAAAAAAAAAAGAATTTTTTTATTTTTATTTTGTAATCATCTTGCGACCCCCACTCTGGGAACCCCTGTCTTAGACAATAAGCAGAGTGGTGCAGCTCTGTTTATTGATCTTTCCAAAGCGTTCGATACCGTCGATCATCAAATCCTGAAGCAGAGGCTGGCCAGTATTGGCATATCCAGCCATACAGTGGGGTGGTTTGTGAAGGTTCTACGTTGTCTGGACCAGCCAGTTTCTTAGGATCTAACTTGGTTAAGGCTTCATGAACAACATCAATAGTAAAAGGAGAAAAACTGAAGGGGTTTTCCAAACCACATTGTTCAGAGTCACAGACCGTGGCGTTCACTCTCTGAAAAGGTCCCAATGTGTTCAATGTGATGGGCTCACTTCTGAGTGGTTAAACATTACAAATGGTGTACCACAAGGCTCTGTTTTAGGTCCACCTTTAGTTCCCCATCTACATCAACAGCTTAGGTCAAAATGTGGATGGAGCAACTTTACATTTTTATGCAGACGATACCGTGATGTATTGTGCAGGTCCCTCCATTAAGGAGGCTGTTGTTAAATTACAGGCTATTTTTTAATAATATTCAGACTCAGCTCTGAACTAACGCTTCTTTTAAATGTTGATAAAATGAAGGTAATGCTCTTTTCAAAAGCCAAAAAGACACCAGAGACCGCTTTGGATATTGTAACTGCACAAGGAAAAATACTTGAAGTGGTTGCCTGTTATAAATACCTTGGTATCTGGCTTGATGACTGTCTCTCTTTTAAACTTCAGGTCAATAATCTGTTTGGAAAGCTGAGGATGAAGCTAGGTTTCTTTTTCAGAAACAAGTCCTGTTTCTCGCTTGAGGCCAGGAAAAGGCTAGTCAGACCTTTTTACCTGTGCTGGACTATGGTTATCTGATCTATATGAATGCACCTGCCCATTACCTGATCAAGTTAGATGTCGCCTATCACAGTGCCTTCACTAACTGTACGGAGGCTCAGTCATTGGTACATGTTCATATACAAAGCCATGTTGGGTAAACTCCCATCTTATATCTGCTCTCTGATCACAAAGAGTTGAAAGTAGCTATTGCCTGAGATCACATGATGTGGTCTTGTTACATGTGCCAATTGCAAGGACTGACTTAGGGACGAAAGCTTTTATGTGCGCAGCTCCTCTTGCTTGGAACAGTCTGTAAAAATAATTGAAACTGAGCAATTTGGTTCCACTGCATGTTTTTAAAGCTCAGGTGAAATGCTCTTTGATACTGTTGGTACTTGTAAATGTCGATAGGTATGTAAATGTAGCCCTGTAAATATGATGTCCTTTATTGTTTTATGTTGTTTTATGTTTCATGTGTAACCTGCTGCCGGTCTCCCTTGAAAAAGAGATCAATGATCTTGATTGGACCGACCTGGTTAAATAAAGGTTTGAAATGAAATGAAATCCATGATCACAACATGTAACACACACGCCATATTCAACACAGATAGTGTGTGCAGGTGTAGTTCTCACTTTACTCACTTATCAGCGAGACACATCCACTGATGCAAGAGAGCAGCGTTTCAGCTCAGCAGTAAATACGTTGTGGAACTGATACTCAGGCTCTGTATTGGGATACGACACAATAATGGACTTTCTCTTGAAATGCAGCAGAGCCTTTGTAAGCTGGACTGAGCCATGTATTTTTAAAGTACTGAGTCTCATATACAAATTGGAAATTCACACTACAATAGTCATATGAATAAGCAGTCATGTCTCTCTTTGAATGAAATATTCTCTAATAAATGAAGGTGACAAACCTAAGGGGGATTTAAAATGCTATATTGGAGTATGATACATTTAAAGTTTTAAATTATACAGACTCACTTTTATTTAACTATACACATATCCCCAAGTGTTTCATAACCTCTTAAAACATTCAGAGGCAGAAATATGTCACCAGTCTGTCAAAGGTAAATTGACAGTAGATTTGTAGATTGGCGAGTCCTCAATAAATAATCTATCATGTTAAAATGATGTATTTGTGCAAAAGTGTCCATCATTTAAAAGCATTTTAAGCGACTCTTGTATACAACTGTAATGGTTTCAGTTAATGTCGTTATGAAGCCGTATTCAAAACAGGATAGTACAAATCATGAAATTAAATAAGACCATAATTGCAATTTAAGAGCGTTATCAACATCAGAACAGGTTAAATATAAAGAAAGATGCTTTAATGTTAACATTTACTTTATACTTCTTATTAAAATACAATTCCAGGTGCATCGCTCTGCCCTCAGGTGATGCTTGCTGCTAATGCTAATCTGCTAAACGCTGGAGGGTTGGCAGATGGGATCTGAGTGAATCTGGTTAGAATTTGTTTACTCCGCCACTCGCCTCAGATGCCTTGAGGGTGTAGTCGATAAAACATTAAGTGAAATTTAAAGAGTAAACTAATATTGATTAAAGTGTTTTAATGTCTTTCTAAATCAATTCAAACCAATTTCAATATATAAGCAGGGGGAAAAAACACCATCAGTAATCATAACAAATTGAAATATGAAAACAAACAGACCATTTGTTTTGTACGCTGACGTTAGCAGAGCCGAGTGACCGTCTGTCTCTCAGGTCACTTTACAAGGCTTTACGGTACGTCCACACAGCAGCGTTAAAAAAAATCTTGGAGGTGGGCGTATCTGAAGCTTCGGGATTTTTTGCGACCAACAACCAATCACATGAATCTCCCACCCCCCTGCTTGCTAGCAATGTTAAAACGAAGTAAACTGGATATAAAATCCCCAAACAGGCGAAAACCTACCAGTTTAACCCACTGTCTCTGCCACCTCCCTCCGTACCTGGTTCCTCCGGTTTGTATCCCGGTAAGTTAATAGGGACTGTTCATAAAGAACCGGGTGATGCTACCGCAATAACTAATTTCTCCTCTAGCTTGCACGCGGTTTGATTGGCTAGCGGTTGTACTGTCAGATTTGCATAAACGGGATTTGATTGGCTGATGCTTCCACCTCAGCTTCAAAAGTTGAACATTGCTCAACTTTTGAAGCCTATGCCTGGAAATCTCCGCTTTGCTTCCCACAATGCAGTTCGGCGAAAAGTGAGGCAAAGTGACGTCACCCCATTCAAAGTTAATGGGCAGAAGCGTTGGAAAATTGTTTTAACGCTGCTGTGTGGACGGGCCGTTACAGTATCACCGCCAACAAAGGGCTAGTGAAAGGTGTGACACTTTAAGATGTTATCGAGGTCTTATCTCTGTCTTTAGCTACCGCTGCAGTCCGGTCTGATCTAATCCGACCTACTTGGAGCACTTTAGAAAGACAAGCCTTGATTCACTAGCCAGTGCTGTAGTTTTGCTCCCTTGTAGAATTGCAGTTTCAGGCAAAAAAACAAGAACAGAAAAAAAATGTATTTACATGTTTTCAAATGGTTTGGAGATGCCTGGTTGGTGATACGTTTTTAAACATGTGCACAATGTTAGCTGCAGTATAACAACATGGATTTAACTATTTCTAACCCTTTTCAAGAGTAACTTGATGAGGTAGTTAAAAGCTTTCCTTCCCTCTATGATTTTGATACGCTGTAATCACACCCAAAAGAGATGTCACAGTGTACTGATATCTACTAGAGTTTCGCAAACACAAGATATTCAGTGTGTGTTTAGTTGCTCTTTAAAAAAGCAAAAGCCACATTGTAATTGTACCTAGCAGTGTATCCTTTCTGCTCGTGTCTGCTATACACATGCATATTTGTCAGAGCAACAACCAGTTTATTGTTTTTCACCTGGATGTTTTGCATGCCATTTTCTTTGCAAAGTATTGTTTGTATTAACTTAAACAACCACTTCCTACAACATCAGAGACCTATCTGTCCTTTATGGTGTCCTCTGCAGTGATATAAGTCATAAAGGGTGCCCTATAGGGATAAATTGATAATAATGTTTTCTCTGCTGCTGCTGCTTAGGGACCTTCAAAAGGTGAGAAACACCTCAAAGGCTGCAGAAGCCATTTTAGTTCATGTCTTCAGGGGGAAAATGGTGTAAGATCAGATATGATCTCTGCTCCTTAAGGCACATGGAGATTATGTAATGTCCTGGAGGACTCTATCAGTGATCTATTGTTAGTGATGCAGCCACCCAGCAAGGCCCCTCAGGGTGCAGCTCAGCGGGAGAGCCTGAGCTGTCAGATGGTATCAGAGCTAAGAAAGGGACATTGCTGGTGGAGGGCAGTCCTCCATGTTGACTAACAGGAGAAGGAGGAGAGGAGCCTATCAGATGACAAAGGATCTAATTTAAACCCAGTTTGGATAATTATGGTTGCAAAAATATTTTGTCAGATGTTGGAAAGAGATTGACAAAATAGATGTGGGCTTTACACAAAGCTTTTCCCATTATGTTACATCACCCACACCCACTGCTTCTGGGCTGTTTGAACACTACAGCACTATTCTTTGTGTTCTCCAAGGTCGAGGTTACAGTGTCAGAAAGGGGAATGTTGCTGCTTGTAGCATTCAAAACCAGTAAAGATTGAGGAAGGACAGGAATAGATATGAGAGAAAGAAACAATTCAAAAAATATAGTGGCAAAAGGACAAACTTGAGAAAAAGATAAACAAAGGGTGGTGATAATGAAAAATGTTACTTTTTACAAAAAGTGATGGGGTGAAAAAAGGGTAAGTGAGGAAAAGGATGTGGCATGTCAACAGAGACAAGTTTAAGATAATACATATGAAGTGTGAAATATTGAGATGGAGGCAGAAAAGAAAGTTGGATTGCAAGAATAAAAGGGAAGGATCAGAAGAAAAGATTGAGAAAGAAAAATACTGCCATTAATAATTCAGTCTATCGGTGTGTGTGTGTGTGTGTGTGTGTGTGTGTGTGTGTGTGTGTGTGTGTGTGTGTGTGTGTGTGTGTGTGTGTGTGTGTGTGTGTGCAGAAAGGTTGCGTAACTTCAGTTGCTGGGTTTCTAATAAGATGACTTTGGATGTGTATGTTTCTCACTCACACACACCCTTGCATATCCACTGGTGACATAAAGTAAATGACCTTGTGTTCTGTGTGTAGCAGTGTTATATAAGTCTGGAGTCCTTGCGTGCCTTTCATTGTGCATTTGTGTGTGTTTGTGAGGCTGTTGGGCACCTCCCTGTTTCATGCCACACACACACACACGCTTGGTTAAAAGGGAACATTGGAGAATAGATATGACACACACCCTTCTATCTGATCAGCAGAGCTCTGTAGTCTAAATAACAATCTGCCCACCCAGAGTGGCGCCAGTTACCCAAACTTTGTGTATTTTGGTCCACAGGGAATTAGGAGACAAATGCAAAGAGAACATAAACTGTACACTTTATTGTTTATTCTGCTCTACACACTGATCACTGGGTCTTTGTGTTCAAGGTTATCGTCATTCTTCTTCCCTGTTTTGACTCTTGCTGCCCGACACCCTCCAAGGTTATTTCATGTCAGTAAGTGAAGGGAGTCCGGGACGTGATGTTCTAACCATGACATCCTTTCTCTCTCTATCTCTCTTTCTCTACAGCTCCCACCTCTCCCCCATATCCATCCTCCCTGCTGACTCTGCTCAGTAAGTACACACACACACACACACACACACACACACACACACACACACACACACACACACACACACACACACACACACATCAGGTCTCCATGGTAAATATAGCTTATTTTAAGGGAACCATAAAACGTGTTTTCTTGAACAGCCAGTGATTTATTAAATGTCAACATTCTTTGAAAACTTATTTCACTGTTAAGCACAATATGGTTGACTATAATTTATTTGTACTGTATAATGTGGAAATGAAAAGGTTTCTGTGTACCTCAGTGGATTGTGGCAGATGATATGACATCATCAAATCATCTGTTTGTGTAGTTGGTGACAGTTGGACCTGGGCTACTCTCAGGTGGGAGCACCGGACCAAAATGTCTCGTTGGGACGGTTGTTCAGTTGTGTTTGAATATTGCAATTATCTTTTCTGTATGTTGAAGTCTGTTTTGAATCAAATGTTCATTTACAAACCGGGACTAATTAAGAAACATTCATTTTCTGATCCAGTGACTCTGGTGTGTGATGTGCATTGTGTGTCTAGTAAATGATTAGTTAGAATACTTTTATTTGTTAAGGACAGAACATTTATATTTGAATGTTTGAAGTGGATCTAATCTGTTAAAAAACACTCTATGCATCCGTACTGTTCTAATCAACTCTCCACGACGGACTCTGATCTGTCAGCTTTGTGCACTAAATCTCCCATTGGAGTATTGGCGGTTTTGAGCACTGCCAGTTCAGGTTTGACTGTGTTAAGGTTTTGACGAGACTTGTGAGAAGATCAGCGGAGAGCAGACGTATGTTATACATGATGGATGGGCTTCTGCGCTTGTGTTTACTGATAGAACTGTTGATGTGAGGTGATATGATCTCAGAATCCAGAGGCTCGCTCTTCTCGTCGAACCTCAGAACTTGAGCTCACACAGAGGATGTGATCAGGGACTGACTCGCGCCCTTCTTAGGCCCGGTGTAGTACCAGAGCTTTACTATTGTTCGAGAGCTCAGGATCTGATTGTATAGCGTATTAACTCACACGAATAGGTTGATCATGGAACCGCTCTTGTTCTCGTGCTGATTGTAAAGATCCACTTCACCTGGAGGAATCAAGTCGGTCGTCTACAAAGAATAGACAGTTATATGGCACACTGAGCCCACAGGCTCGTTTCTCTTCCTTTCAGATCTGAAGCGTTGTTTGCTTTCCTGAATTGTATAATTGTATGTGTCCCGCGTGTTCAGCTAAACGGCGGACAGGGTGTGTGAGCTGCGTGCCTGTCACTCTGAGGCACTGTGAGAGCGGTTTCCACATTGGTTCTCATCTCAAGATTCTAAACAGGTGGTATGAATGACATTAATCGTTAGGAGAACTCCCTAGTTGGTGGGGTTGGGTGAAACTGCCAAAACCCGGCTGTGCTTTTTGTTTTCAGTCGACAACTGGGTTAACCCAAACCTGCCATACTCATTTAACTACCTTTCAACTTTACTGTAGACTCGGGATCAAACAGACTGGTTTTCCAATATGGCGCCCCAGTTTACAACAGTCACCCGCAACTGAGCCTGACTCGTCATGCTTCTATCCAGAGTGTGCTTTACTTCAGAAGCGCCATGGGGTAAATTAGGCAAGTTCGTCTGTTTTTTTTAAAACCTCTTATATATGTTGCTGACTACCTGCCTTCAATCTATACTATCTGATTGCGGTAGCTCCATTTTGGGGGGACACCCGTGAACAAGGTTAAGACCGGTCACGCTGGGTTCATCAGGTCACTTCAGAATGTTTGTTATTATGTTTTGTTCTCTCACAGGGATTAACTTCCTTTGATCTTTTTTTGATGGAAGCAGTTGGCTCTGCTTCATTGGAGTGGG